AAGAGTGACTGTGCTCTAAGAGGGAGGAAGAAACATGAAGGACACAACACCTCGTCCTGATTCTCCCTGTTTAAGTCCACAGCCTATCTCCTCTCAAGGAAACATCAGACAATGTAAACTGCAGAGCATTTACAAACGATCTAACCACTATTCTTCAAAGTTATTACAGATGAAGAACGACCACTGAGTCATCAGAGGTCAGAGACTACGACGACGACATGACAGCGCAGTACCCTGTGGAATCCTGTATTGAACACTGGAATAGAGAAAGTTATTAACAGATAAGCCACACCTATAGCTTAGGGAATGATTCTGTATCCATGACAATTTCTTGTAACCATCACAGGCACATCATGGTTATGTGTGGTCCCAACAAGTCAGGTTGAACAGAGATAGGCACTGTTCCTGCAATGTCAACACTTCTGAAAATTTACAATTATTTCAAAAAAGAACACTCTTAAAAATTAATCCTGTTTAAATCATGAACTTAATATTTTTTAGTTCACATCAATTATTTCCCAGGCAACCAAAGGCTGTGGATTTATTGTGAACTAATTCAGGACAATGATCTGTTATCCATGAAGGCTTGGCTAAGAAGGATATGCTATCTCAGCAGCTGAAAATAATCCATTTGGGAAGATATTTTGCAATGAGTTATAAAAAACACCAAACTTTCATATATCCTTGGACTCAGAATTCTTCCTTTTAAGAATACAGCCTGGCCAGGCATGGTGGCACAGCACACACATTTAATCCAAGCACTTGAGAGTCAGAGGCAGGTGGATCTCTGTGAGTTAGGAGCCAGTCTAAGCCAGACAGTGAGACCCTGTCTCAAACAAACAAATGAAATATCAATAAAGAACACACTTTAAGGCAATAATGAAGCATTGAGAAGTAGACTTTATGAAAGTTTGCTGCTGTGCTGTTTTTCATAGTGAAAGGAAGAGAAGCAATTTAATGCTGTGTCCTTGTTGATGAAGTATGGCATGTTCTATGCTAAAACATTACAGTTGTTAAAAGGGAAATTTTGGAGAATAATCCAAAAACTAGATACAAACTTATGAGACAAAGTTAAATGAGAAACAAAGTTATAAAATTACACAAAATTGATTTCTATTATTTTCACCACGCTAACATCATTATGAATGGAACTGTGAATGAATATTCATTTTTGTCTGTACTTTTCTACTCTTTCCAAATTTCCTATAAGTGCAGTTATGGACAGAGTTCTGCATGAGGATCTCCTACAGGGCCTTGCTTTTGAAGACTTCTGAACCTCATGAGAGATCACAGTCCACAGCTGAATCAGTTGTTGTCCCAGGCTCAGCACAGGGACCTTCTTCTCAGACTATTTGAAAATTGGCCATGGATGTGTCTGAAGACTACAGATATAATCTGAAAAAGCAAGTTCTTTTTAATTATTCTTTTTCTAATGGTCAGACACACCCTGACAAACTCTTTTTTAAGATAAGATCAGTAGAGAGAAAATTCCTTTTTATCATCTCCCCCATTTACCCAATACTCAAGAGATGGCCATTTATGTCTGGAACTCGGGACAAAGATGCCCTCTGATTCTGAACAGCTTGCTCAATAATAAAAAACAAAACACAGAGGTGGGATCACCCACCCCATCAGTTGAGTGCTAAAGGCGTTACTGGACCAGATGTTTTCATGAACCCTCACTCACCTGCCTCTAATAGAACTGCACCAGAAAACAATTCAAAACCCAGCCCCAAACACCAAGGACTCCCCACTCAGAAGTGTCTTCTTAATGTGCCATTTTAGACTCTTGAATGAATTTTTAAAACTCTATTGCCAAATAAGTTCTAGTTGTCACTTTAAAACCTGGGACTTATTAAGTCTGAAATTATAGGAAACTTTTGTTATTCCTGGAAATGCTTCTTCTCCAAACACAAGAAGGGAATAGAAGTATGGTTTTATTATTATTTTTATATGTATATGCACAGTGTGAAACAGGGTCCTACACAGTAGCCCAGCCTTGAGCAATCCTCCTGCTCCAGTCTCTTAGTGCTGCATGTGTGTATGTCACTGTTAGTTCTTTTTCAGTACTTAGCCTTGAACCCATGGCCTTGAGCACACTAGATAATCACTCTAACACTGAGCTACCCCTCCGATCCCTAATCATTTTTCTTTATACACAATACCCAACTTAAGTGATTGCTGTGTTTCTACAAACACAGAGGTTATAAACTCCTAATGCTAATTCACCACATCTTGTTATTTATTAAAGATTATTGACTTCATCTCAAAATGTGCAGTTAAAAAGAAAATCCTGGGGCTGGAGCAATGGCCTGGTGGATAAAGTACTTGCTGTGTGTGCAAGAGGATCTGAGTGTAGATCCCTATCACTTGTGTAAAAACCTAGACATGGTATCACACACCTGTATCCCCAGTGCTGGGTGTGCAGAGATGGCAGATCACAGGGGCTCAGCAGATAGCCAAGCTAGTTGAGATGGGGGGGCTCCAGGTTTGGTGAGATACCCTGTCCCCAAAAATCAGGTAGAGAAATGATTGCAGAACACATCCTGACATCAGCATCTGGCCTCCTCCTGCATGGACAAAGGTGAGTGCACCTGCACACAAACGTGTGCGTGCACACACACACACACACACACATGCACACAAACACACATGCATACACAGGGATCAGCTGATAGTGAACTTCAACTTATGTAAACCTGACACACCAAAGCAGAAGTGCTTTAAGGAGCAGGGTTACCTGTATGCTGACCACGATGACCAGAGATGTGGCCACAGTAACTGCAAAGGACTGGTAGTCAGCAATGTGTTGCCCGTCTTCTCCAGCCATGTTGTAAAAGGCGCCATAGGGAATGAAGAAAAGGGCTAACGAGGTGTAGATTCCATGTGCCACACAGATGAAAAATCTTCGTTTGTTAAAAAGGAGATTCAGTTGTCCAGGTTCATAGAGCTGAGGACAGTCCATGCTGTTCTGCTCACTTATGTCCTGGAAGCAGAGTGTGATTTCAGAGAAGGAGCACTGGGGAAGAGTCAGAGAAGTCCTGTATTCCCTATCCCCAGAAATAGACAAGGTCATTGTAGGCACACTTTATTGCCCACCCAATTATAAATGATCCCCAATTTGCTTTGCAGAGACTTCCATCCCCAGGAGAGACAGAGGAGAGGTTACAGATCTTATATAGCAGAGTTAGGACTTGACTGAACATGAATGCACCTATTTAAACTCAAATCAAAATCTGTTCTCTACATCTTCTGCAGGCTGCTGTGGCTGATGCTGTCTAGGAAAGAGTCAAGCTCCAGGATTCCATGTATGTATAATCATGGACCAGAAGGAAATTGCTAATGTGGTATGTGTGTGGTAGTGATCCGGAGATGGATGCAAAGAGCTAAGTTAGAATTGGCAATTTGAGGATGAGATGAGGAGGAACTATGAGAGAAGGGAGGAATCCCATGTGGTGTTCGAAGTGGGAAGGGGGCTGAGACTAAACGTTCAGTATCTGAGTGACTTACCCAGTGAGAGTTCAGTAGTAAACGCCAACAGCTTAGGAGAACAGAACCATACAGAATAAGTGGCTCCATAGTTAGCAGCCACAGGTTCTAGAGAAAAACTTAACTGAGTTTTCTAAAGTTTAATAGAAATATGAATCTATGAAGGAGAGTCTGCATTTCTGGCTAGCTGCAAAGTGATGTCAATGACCACACTTTCAGCATCAAAACCAAAGGCCGATACCAAAAGGATGACCAGCATAGAAGACTAAACAAAAACAGACCAGCCAGATAGTGGTGGCACATGACTTTAATCCCAACACTTGGAGGCATATGCAGGTTGATCTCTGAGTTCGAGGAGGGTCTAGTCTACAGAGCTAGTTCCAGGACAGCCTAGGCTACACAAAGAAACTATCTCAAAACACCAAAATGATACAACACAAAGCAAACAAACACACAAACAAAAAACAGAAGACCATAGGTGGAGAAGTGGCAGCCATAGATGGGGAATTCTGGGGAAGGTCCATTTCTCCTTCAGCCTTGTAGGATGGCCCAGAATACATGGAATGGGGTTCTATGAATCCTGACACATTCTCTTTAAGAAGTCCTGCCTGGAGACAATGTTGGATACAAATATGCCTTCTTCCTGTCATAGTGTCTGGTGTCTTTGTCTACACAGGCTCTAAAACCACACAGTGCTGAGCTGAAGGTCTGGCAACAGACTTGGCAGTGTAGTGTTGTTACTTAACCTGAGTCTTGGTTTCTTCATCTGCTGAAATGCAAGCAGTAAAGAGACCACTGTCATGACAGATAGTGGAGAGATGTTTCTGCAATGTTCTTTCCCCATATTAAATAGTCAGTAAACTATGTTAACATAAAACATTAATAAAATGATGATAATAATAAAGAATGGTAAGAAAATGTAGTAGGCCAAACTCAAGTGAGCTTGTGGTGGTTTAGTTCTGCCACAGATTGGCTGGGTGGCTGGGTGGCTGGGTGGCTTGCTGGCTGACTGGCTGGCCTGTCTGGGACTAGAACCTCCCAGGGCTTGCTCACCCTCAGACAAAATGAATGACACCACAGATGGTCCCTGGGGCCCTCTAGCCCAGCACCCATGACTCTGCCATCAACTTAAAGGCCAAGGCAGACAAACCAAGAAAAGAGCGGAACAGTCATTCAACTTGATGGCATTAAGAAGATTTCTTGAGTTTTGTTTTGCTTTGCTTTTTTCAAGTTGCACAATAACTATTTTGTTTTTTTTTTCCCAGAACTGCTTTATTTTTACTATTTGATTGTGGGCAGCTACAAAGCACCAAGAAAAGAAACACTTGTAAACACCAGCACTTGGAATAGCATGTGCTTAATCCTTTACATCTAAGGTCTTTTGAAGTTCAGTGCTTTGTGCAGATGTCTCTCTTTTACATATGGACAGGAGACTCAGAACTAACTACAAAGTAGAGAGAATGGAGAAGGGAGTGACCTCGCAGTGTGAGGATGTGTATTGTGCAACAGATAGCTTTGGGCCAGAAGACGAAGCCTAGTAAACAGCTCTAATAACAGATCGGAGAAAAGCTGGTCTCAAAAATACTTAAAAAAAAAAAAATTTCAAAATGCAGTACACTTTGGTCGTGCCATGGAAACTGCTGGCTAGGCCTCCACTTCCCCACAGGCAGCCAGACTTCCCCCTTTGCCAGGAAGTATGCTCCAAAACAGAGTGGGCCGTGAAGCAGTTACCATTCTTATAACTTATCTCTCCCCCCTTCTCCTGTCTCACACACATAAACACCAGATAAAGGGCCATGTTCTTTCTCTCCATGACTAAGGGCTTGTGTGTGCTCATCTCCCTTAGATGGGCCACTCAGCACCCTGGGTTTCTTTTCTGCACTGGCCAAGGTGGCTCCACTGTCCGTGCTGTTATTTTATGTGCCGCCCAGTTTTCCTTAACCCTGCACAGTTCTTTCCTCCTGTGAGAGGCTAACATGGAACTTCCCCACATACTGCATGTACTCAGAGGCATTTTGATCTTGGAAGCTAGAGCAACTGCTTCATGAAAAGACTGGACAGGGAGCATCCTTCAGAATAAGCTTCTTTCGAAGAAAGAGCCTTGTTAACTATGTAGGAAGAGGAAAAGACAAAGCTTGAACTGGGAGAGCATTAGCCACTGTCAGGTCTCAAAGAAACCCAGGACAAGGCTCACTCAGTACCTGTGGCTCCTGGCAGAACTTCTTGCACCACCCCTACCTTCAACATCTCCAGCCCAAGGGCTTAGCTTCCTTTCCCACAGCTTCTCATTCTTAGCATTTCAACCATGTGCTCTCTTGGTCCATTTGCTCCCTGCTCCTCTTGCTTTCCCTCACCTCCCACCCCCACCCTCACCCACCTCATGGCCCAGTACAGTCTGGAGTCTTCCAGGTTGTTCTCTTCCTCATATCTACAATAAAATCCTTACCTTCAACCATACCTTTCATTCAGCCACCATGGCTAGAATGATACGAAGCTAACAGAGCAGCCTTAAAGTCTCCTGAACAAATGGTTTGTTTGGTTGGTTGTTGTTGTTTTTTGTTTTGTTTTGTTTTGTTTCACTGCTATAGACTCTCAAGGGTCTGACAGGAATTTCCACACTGCATTATTTGGAAAGCAGGCATAGTTCAAAGTTGTCTTTGTCCTGGGCAGCAAAAGAGGAAAGCTACCCTCCACATCCCCTGCCAAATGTGTGTGCTCTAAGAATCACAGAAGTGGCCTATCAACTCTTGACAGACTGCACAGTCACTGTGACCTGATTAGAGCTGGGGAAAGCTAGAGGATCTATGCTCTAACATTTAATGGGGGTGGGGGAAGGAAAATAGTAAAGATAGAGTTACATAAGGAAGCAAAAAGGTCTGTGGATCCGAGCATTGACTCTTTAGATTTGTGTGTTTCGCCTGTAGTAATGGTTGAAGCCAGGAAACTGGAGAGGGGCCCTTGGTGGGGGAAGAATGACCTTAAGGAGGGAGGATAATGAAATACAAGTAATGTGAAGGGAGAAAGAGGAACGATGGAGAGGAAGGTCTAAGAAGGGAAGGGATGAAGGTGGGCAGAGGAGAGGGTGGGAAGAGGGATGCCTAATGCTAGGACATTTTTAAAGCCATATAGAAACCCACTGTTTTACGAGCTTTACACATACACACACACACACACACAGAGAGAGAGAGAGAGAGAGAGAGAGAGAGAGAGAGAGAGAGAGAGAGAGAGAGAGAGAGAGAGACTGAGACTTAGAATTTACCTTCTTAGGGAATAATGCTTCTCCCAAAAGCTATAAGTTGGTAAATAAAATTCCAAGTACTAGGTGTGGGATATCTCCCATTGAGTTGCTGGTCAAGAGTATCCTGGAAAAGCTCAGAATAGTAATAAAATATTGCCATTGTTCTTGGCTTCCCCACCACAACCTTGTTGGTGAGATTCTATTGCTGAAGACACCACACATTTTGGTCACAGAACATGGAAAAAATCAAGCTGGTTCTGACCAAGACAATTCCTCCCTGCAGGCTAGCACTCACATTTCCAGAAGATTCTATGCAGGCCACCAAAGGAGAAAAGTCATCAACAGTCTTACCCAGTTGTGAAACCCTCAAGTTGCAAGAACAGCCTGGCAAGATACACCCATGAGGCACATGTGCTATAAAAGTAACTAAATACTTCCTGATTGGTTAAGGTCTGTTCCACAGGAGTCAACTCATTGAAACAGTACATCTGTCTAATATCCTACGGCTGGTATGCTCGTCAGTCCTAGGGGTGAATCTACTAATTTTATTTTGATAAATGGAAACAGTATCAAACTGGTCTGTAAATATGTACTTTTACACCTGTGGATTAATACAGTTCCCAGTCCCCATGAGAGAGGTTTCTGTGTGAAGCAGATGAGGTTTAATATAGAAACTCACAACTGGTCAAAGCACAAAGGATAATGTCTATATAATGCTAAGCCATCAGTGGGTCTCAGTATTACATGCCTCACTCTAAGGCTCAGGAAATATCCCAAAAGAGGGGGTAGGATACTGTATGAGCCAGAGATCAGGGCAGGGGTGAGTGGGGAGTGGAGAAAACAGCTTCTAGACATGACATGGTCGTTGCCCTAGTGAACTCACAGTGACTGTGGTTTTCTGTATAAGATCAAGCCAGCCACCTTTCCAGATTGGATAGGAGAGGAGCTCATGATGGCAGCTGATGGCTTAGGGGAGGGAGAGTCACAGTTTAATAATACTGTCCCTGGTATGTCAACCCTGCTCCAGCGGGTGGCCACACATTCATATGTACATAGGTGGGACAATTTGGATTCTGTGGGTCATTAACAAAAGGCAGGGGGAGTCTAGAGTTAAGAGGGACAGTGAGGTGTTGGGATAGATCTGGGAAGACTCAGGAGTAGGAGTCGGGAACGGTAAATGTGAACATAATACATTATATGTGTTTATGAAATTCTCAAAAAATTAACTTAAATTATTATATCTTTAAAAAGATACAATCACAGAAATTTGAGAAATGTTGGACTCAAATGAAAGGGGAAAACTTCAGGCATGACTTCCCAGGACCTTAAATCAACAAAGCAAGATGTAAGTCCCTCAGAACAGATGAGGCAAACTTGGATGGAGAACCTTTCCGGAGAAGCAATGGACAGGGAAAGAGACCCAGAAGGCCTTGTGACCCATGTAGCACTCCTTTTAAAAACTGCATTCCTAGGGATCTTCCCATTCATCACCCTTCTACTTAAAAGCTAACTAGCAACAGCTGAAAGAGTCAACAGAGAAAGAAAGCAACAGATACAGCAAAACCCACATACCTGGTCAAAAATTCCCATGGCTAACACGGGCAGTGACGTGTAAACGATGTTAAAAAGAGTGATGAACCATTGGTCGTAGACAGTCTGAAGAAAGGATAAAGAAATGTTCATGAGAAACACCATCCACAGAGTGAAAACATTCATTGTCAGGGCTAAGGAACTCAGAGGTCAAGGGCAGAGACATGAGCTCTCCCCACATTTTGCCCTTGATCCGGGACTGTGGCCTCTTTAACTTCTATCTCCTTATCTCTAGGTATTTTGTTTTTGCTTGATTTGTTTCTTGCTGTTTTTTAAGACAGGTAGCCCAAGCTGGCAACAAACTTGAAGCTATCCTCCTGACTCTGGCTCCCACGTGCTGGGATTAAAGGCATGCATCACCATGTTCAGCTATATCTGATCTCTGCAGGGATATCACATCCTCCTCACTGTGTGTCAGCCCGGGTGAGACGAGCTAATGCATACAGCATACCAAAGCAACACACAATACCAGACGCATGTGAGACACCAGACTCCTGTAGTGGGTCTTGAATTCTCCAACTTTTTAATAGCTTATTACAAGTTCAAACACATGACCTTAGTGATATACAAAGAATTCCACTAAAGTATTCCCAGAAAAACACAAAAATGAGCCTGTTACTTCTATATTATATTCAGATCTTTTCTTATGATGGACTTATAGCAAAAGGAGCACAGATCTCAGTGCTCACTGCACTGGATGTAGTAAGCAAGTCAATGAAAGCATCCCCTCCCATGTGCAGCCTTGCATAGGGGCTGGCTACACAGCTCAGTCAGCAGAACACTTGCACAGTGTGCATGGGACCTTGGATTTGATCTGTAGTATTGTATAAGCCAGAGGTACAGGCCTGAAATCACCACACCCAGGAGATGGAAGCAGGAGTCTTGGTCACCCTCAACTACATAGAGTTTGGGGTCAGCCTAGCTTTCAAAAGACTCTGTTTTCAAAAATCAGACAAAATCTTTGCTCGAGTCCTACTAGTAGAACAGAAATTACATGTCCATTTTGTCGATGTAATAGAAAGATGGAGAAAGAATCTTCCAGAGTCTCTTATTATAGAGATACGTAAACATCAAAATCTGGACCTCTGGCTCCTAATGAATAACCACCCTGATAGCATTCATTTATTTATATTTCAATGTGCATTGAGAAATAGCTTTGCATCAAATACTAGGTTACGTAGTAATTGTTCAGCATGATCACTCACATGGAAATTTATCAAGAAGTACAAATCCTTCTCCCCATTCCCCCTTCCTCTTTACCTCAGAGAAGGGGGAGCCACCCTTGGACACCACCTCACCCTGGGGCAGGACTGAGAGGAGAGGAGGGAGGGAGGCTCAGATCTGAATATAAAGTGAATTAAAAAAATATTGGGGGAAAAAAACAAAAGACTCTGGATCAATCTATCAGATTTGGAATGTATTCTGAAGCGCACTGTCTTGTGGGACAATGATAAAGCACTGTAGATCTTGAAAATCAAAGACATTAACGTGGAATCTGCTTAGTGACATAAATAAGATGACCCTTTAAATTACATCCTGCAGATGTGAATTGTCTTAAAGAGAAAACATTCTAGTGTCTTTAAAGGCTAAATCTGAATTTGAAGTTTCCTATGTCTTAGTAGCATCTTTTACATTTGAAATGAAGATAGATTTTTTAAAGAAAGAGAAATGGAAGCCACTCTTCAGATGCCAAATTCCAACCAACAAAGCTCTGGGGAGCGGTACTGAGCTTAAGTAGCACAGACAACAGCATTGCTGGTCATTAGACTCAGAGATATTTTCAGCTGTGATTGGACCCTGTGGTGAGCAAAAGGCCCTTGAGCATTAGTGCAGCTCTCGACTAGATCTGAAGGGTAAATGGGATGGGGACGGGTTAGTAAATGTGGGAGGAGATACACGATGCAGTTTTTCTACCAATGGAAACCTGTGGGGCAAGTGGACCAAGTCACCAGACAGAAGAACTGGTAAAGGTGAGTGAGCTCAGACCCTGTGAATCTCAGAACTGAAAATGGCAGGAGTGGGGCCATCACCTGCCCACCTCTACCTGCTCTGGAACAAGAAACTACCTACTGACACTTCACTGAGAGGACCATGACAATCAGTCACTTGGCATAAAACCCTAAATAAGGTGTGTACAATCACATTAGCTATCACATAAAGCCATTTGAACAAGCAAGGGCCGTCTCTTCACCAAGGATCACGTAGGGTAGGGGTTGCTTCTTCCTAAAGAGCCCCCCTCTATACTCTCAGCATGCATTCAGGAATTAAACCAGGCTCTGCCACTGTCTCTGGGTTTTGCCTTCCCCATACTGCCTGACCCCGTTACTGCCTGACTTGTGGGCCCCCTTCAAGAGCAGCTTGACCGAGGACTACAGTCTGGACTCCCAGTGGCACACCAGCAACACCAGGAACCACAGCCATTGTCTCAGACGACATTGTTTTCCATTCCAGGAAATCACAGACTGAGGACCACCTGTTATGGACTCTGCTATGCCTCCCTGTTGGCAGTACTCTGGGCACCCCAGTGGTGAGGCAGGGAGGGGGGATGAAATTCAAGAGATAAACATATGACATATGTGGAAAAGCTTAAACTTGGAAGGTTCTAGAAGCCCACCACCCCCAGCTTTATAAAATGAGTAAACAGCCCCAGCAGCAGAAGGAGCCTGACCAGCTGACCTGAAAAGAGATACTCAGACCATTCATCTTGCCTGCAAGCTTTGCACAGGGTGACAGCTTTCATGAGTGTCACCATGTGGCTTTGTGCTGGCATACACAAGCCACCTGTACGTCATCTCTGACTCTGTAAGTAATCCCTTACCCACGCTCCTGTTAGTGACTCCAAGGAAAACTGGTTGGTTCACCAGGATGGACATTGCTGCAATTGTTACTTTGGTCCATTGTGGGTTCCATTTCTTGTGTGAGTGAACACGTATGCTGTATTTCTCCAGGAAAGCTCTCACACAAGAATGAGGAAAATTGTTTTCGGTGTATCTGTGCTGGTTTGTTTTATGTCAACCTTACACAAGCTAAAGTCATTGGAGAAAAGGAACTTTGAGATTAGCCCCTTTCTGAAATAGCCTTCAGTTGTCAAATAATTCTTCAAATTCGTGAAGTCACCCTGTTCAATGGCTGTGCCCCTACCCAGCTAGTACTCACTCCTCCTCCCACTTCCTGCAGCCCCTCAGCTGGGGTGCCTGTCCTCTGACTCCAGCCTGCTCGGCTTTGATTGATCCTGAGGAATCAGCTTGGAGTAGGTGGCAGGTCTTTTAGGATGCCTGTTTGAGCTAGCCCACTCCCATCCCTTGTAGTGAATTCCACCCACTCACCTCAGGATACATTTTCCCAGGTGATGGATACCATCTTGAAGCAGTTTGGAAGCCAGAAACATCCACAGGCTGAAACTCCACAACGACCTTTCTCCCACAGGCTCATTCCAGGGCTGGATTCCAGGCCCCTTGTTAGTTCTGTGACTCACTACATCTCAGTGCTTCATAACATTGACCTGTAATTACTTACATCCTGGTTCCCAGCACCATCTTAACCTGTCAGCTCCTGGGGTCATTCTCATCCAGGAGCCCAAGAAACTAACTCAGAGTCTAGCATGTGATAAGTTACAAATAATGTCATAAAGGGGTTTGGTTTGGGGACATGGCACTTGCCTAGCATGAACCAGCCACCAGAACCAGATAGTTAGGTAGGTAGGTAGATAGATAGATAGATAGATAGATAGATAGATAGATAGATAGATAAAATAAGACAAATAACACATAAGATGCCTCTTTGGAAATGTATATCCTCGGGTTTGGGGTGAGTTGCAGAGAGAAGAGCTGTATTACTTCTTTCATCTCTCAAAACCATTTTTCTCCTAAAGAAGAGATAAATAGGAGGTGTACCGCTTTAGCTCTTCAGTTGTTGGTCTGCATAATTAGCAGAGACTCACTAGTAGGATAGGGAGGAAGGGCCAAGGCTGAGCATCAGCCTGTCCCCAGAGTTTTCACAGGGCACATCTGGAAGGCAAGGGCAGAGGAATTCTCCTGCCTTGTGGAACAGACCTCAGGTATCAAAACCTGTGATGCCATCGGGCCTCAAGATTAGCCTCAGTCTTTCCCATCGCTTTCCAAAGTTTCACTGTATATTTTCTTATAGTATTTGACAAACCTCTTCCAGTCTTGACAAGATAATTGCTTCCATATTACACAGAATTTTTTAAAGATACATATCTCTGTATCTCCCTGACAATGATAAATTGTCAACAGATAATATCATCTCAAGCGCTCAGTGCCAACACTTACACAGTTTCAAATGTGAACTTCCGAAACTGGGCCTCAGCGACTTTTGGAGGGACAACTCATCTTTATTAAAACCCCCAAAGGACTGAGTGCTTTTAAAATAAGTCACGGCTATTAACAATAACACACACACACACACACACACACACACACTAAAGTCAAAAAAATCATGTATGCTTCAACAGTGAATCAGGGTAAGGCATGCCCTACAGAACGAGCCATGAGCCAACCTTTATCCAAGCTCTGTTAAACTGGAAACCCAGCTGGAAATCTCACCACACCAGGTTATGTTTGTCCATTGCTGGCAGCTGAGTTGGAGCATTTGTTGACAGAAGGTAGACTCAAGCTTCCAGATGATTCTAGAAGGCAAGGCACCAGGCAAAGGTTGTTCAAGCCTAGTAGACAGAGAGCTAAAAGGGCAAGAGCTGCACTCCTGATCATGTCACCATTGATTCCCAGTTCTTGAGGAACTCAAGGTCTTCTCTTATAAAACAGAGTTTTACACTCCCTACCTCTAAACTCTCTGACAGAGCAAAGGTTCTACCTCAACATGCACTCTGAGGACCATCAAGATGGCTCAGTGGGTAAAGATGCTTGCCCCTAACCCTGATGACCTGAGTTTGATTCCAGAACCAACATGGTGGAGGGAGAGAACAGACTCCTCATAGTTGTTCTCTTACCTGCACATATGCTCCATGGTCCTTGGGCTCCTCCTCCTCCCAGACACACACAAGATAATTTCTTGAAATATATTGCGTATTTTCTTTTATATGTGAAAGACAGTATTTAAGCTTTTGATAAGTTTGCTACCATCTGAAGAAACAGAGAGGTAAGGTACCTAGTAAAGGACAGGGGGTGTGGGGTGGGGGTTCTTCCAAGGAAGAGGAAATAAAATTTAGTGTTATGGAGAGATAAATGGGGGGAGGGGAGAGAAGGGTCAAGGAGGGAATATGGGGAGGGACAACTAACACTAAACCTTATGAAAACCATATGGAAACCTACTACTGTAGAAGCTTTGTAGTGGCTTGAATAGGACTGGCTCATATATTTGGATGCTTGGTCATCAGGGAGTAGCACTACTTCAGATGGATTAGTAGGTGTGGTCTTGTTGGAGGAAGGGTATCCTGGGGGTGAGGATTAAGATTTCAAGGTCTCTAACCAGGCCCAGTGTCTCTCTCTTTCTGTTGCCTGCAGATCTGGATGTAGAACTCTCAGCTCTTTCTCCAGCACCATGTCTGCCTGCATGCTGCCATGCTACCCACCATGCTGATAATTAACTAAACCTTTAAAACTGTAAGCAAGCCCCAGTTAAATGATTTCCTTTGTAAGAGTTGCCTTGGTCATGGTGTCTCTTTACAGCAATAGAATGCAGACTAAGGCAAGTTTCCAAAAACATACATATATGAAAGGAATTTAAATGTCATTACCATATGATGGAAAAAAAAATTTTATGCCACCAAGCAAAACCCCTGGTGCCAAGAACGGATTACATCCTGTTGGATTGTTGGCAAGAAGGATGCCACAGACCACCCCCAGCCCCAAATATTATAGGCTATTCCCAAGGCTATTGGTTGCTCTCCACAACATGATGGTACGGCCCTATTGCTGAGAGCACCACTTACATATAATCAAACAAAATGTCAAGCTGGTGCCCAACTAGGAGCCTCATCCTACTGGCATTCACAGTGCCAGAATGTTCTCTGTATGCCTCTGGAGGAGGAAGAGAATCATCACTCTCACCCAACTACAAAACCTGAGACCCACAAAAACAACTTATGTATAAGATACACTGGTGTGAGAGTGGCAGATATATTAGAGGGATATCCAACTAAATTTAAAATTGAATTTAAGACCCTCTCCATGAGATGGAACCCATACCTGACACAGCAAAAGTGGCCAAGAACGTCAGACTGGGTAGGTCATGGACCTACAGGGAAAACCATTATTCTGCTAAGGGAATGGAGCAATAAAAAGACTCCTGGTGTCATATTTCTGTATCCATGTATCAGTACATCACCCAACTCTCATCAGAGAAGCTGCTTCTTACAATAGCTGAGGATTAACACAGACACACACCAGACAACGCACAGAGTGAGAGACTCTGCAGCGCGCAGTCCTACATGGGAGGCTCTTGTCTAAGGTCTCTCATCAAGACTCAGGGCTCCATGTGGAAGAGGAGGTAGTAAGACTGTGAGTCAAAACTGGTGAGTGATTGGAAAGAAACAGTGTCTTCCAGACACAACAAGAACGATACACATGTGAACTTCCAGAGACTGTGGCAGTGTGCACAAGTTTTGCACATATTCAAGCCAGACAAAAATACCAACGCAGAAAAAGGGAAGTGGACATAATGTCCCACCCCTAAGCAAGAAGCTACTTGTAATTGATACTTACTGGGAGAGGAAGTTGGCTTTCTTCAGTGGAGCATCACTGGGCATATCAACCACACTCCAGGGCAGGCTCCAGGCCCAGGAGTAGTTGGCCAACCCGCCAAGTCTGTTTGTTGTGGAATTTTTATTTCGTTCTGTGTGGTTTTTTTTGGGGGGGGGTACAGGGGGGGTTGTAGGCATTTTGTCTTACTACATTTTGGAGTTTTTTTAATTTATTTTTTGTTTTGGATCTTTTCTGGGAGGAGCTGTCTGGGTTGTTTGTTTGTTTTTGAGAAAAAAGAACATGAAGTTGAATGTGTAGAGAGTTGAGATCTGAGAGGAATTAGGGAAGGTGAAAATAGCAAAGTAAAATTTATGAAAAAAAATTATGAAAAAAAGTTGGTTGAACGAATAAGGGAAATATGATGGTGGAGTGACTTAACATCCTTTTCACATTTCTACAAATAAAATCATTCCCAGACTGTGGGTTCTCTGTCAATGGGAATTACCTCCCTCCATTTCATGTAGTGGCCCAGCAGGCCAACAGAACACCTTCCCTAAACTGGAATGAAGTTAATTGCTGCTAAGCAAACAAACATTCAAAGACACGGGAGAATGTGTATAAGTCTCACCTTTGCCAGGACTGAACAGAGAAGGAACCTTAAAGGGTAGGCCACTCGGGAGAAGACCAGTTGAAAATAAAAGCATCTCTGTCAGCTCCCTTTAAAAGAGGTGGGTTTTAGGAGCTGAGGAAATCTCCATGTCCAGCACATGGTAATGGAGACCAAAGCCACCTAGATGGTTTCAATGGAGGCAAGAATGTCCCCCTGACATAAATTCTCAACCTGCATAGACTAGTTGGTGTCTCTCCAAACATGTTGTTTTCTTTGTATTTGCCTCATTATAACATATTGTCCTTAGAAGAACAGGACTTGTGGAGAGGAAGCCAAAACACGTTACACTTGGTGCTAATCAAGGGAAAAACAGTGAGAAGAGACAGTAAGCCTGGCCAATTCCAGCCCCACTTCCCAGTGGCCCTCACAGCCAGTTCTCAGTACCCCTGAAACAGAGACCACACACAAGAACACCAGTTTCCATCTCTAGAACAAGCTCTAGAATGGGTTTCTTGCTATATACAGCCTCATGGTGTTGGGGGTAGGAGGTGAATCCATTGCTGTGTTCTACCAATTTTGGGAAATATTTCTTCATGAGTTTGTATTACATGGAATCTAACAAAAACCCTAGTGCAGAGGAAACCTCCACTAACGTTGTGGATCAGGTAAGTCAACGAGACTCCCAAAATAATATAAGCAGTTGCCGTTACCGTAGGTTGCCTCCCAGAACTTGAAGACCCTTTAGCTGGAGACAACACACACGTCGGAAACAGGGCTTGAAAGAATCAAGCTGAAGCTGACCTTGACGCCTTCTCCATGAGTATTAGCTTCCATACTATCTGACGGTTTTACATGAGCTATCAAGGGAGAGGAGCACTCAATAATCCTACCTAGCTGTAGCCAATGAACCACAACGATAGCCAGTATGGCAAGATCGAAAGACGCAAAATGGTGCTTAAATGATATCAACATTCTCCATAGGTGAATTTTAGCTGGCAGAATGATATCAAGACGGCACCAAAGTCTGAGCATCAACCACTTCTCCTTGGTGTAAAATATCATACTGCCCTCTAAATCCCTACCTCTGTTACCCATCAGGTAGTTCAGCTTTTGGAACACATCAAAGAAGTTTCTCTGTGCAGTGAGTGACACTTAATACAGAAACTCACAACTGATCAAACTGTAGAGTGTCTTCAGAGTGCAGAGCCATAAATAGGGCATCTATATTACAACCCATCTCCCTAAGGAACCACAGAGGAAGAAGGAACAGAAAGACCATAGGAGCTAGAGGTCAGGATAGGAGAGGAAGATGCCAGTGATAAACCAGTCTCCTCAGGACACGAGGCTCTGTACTCCTGAACAAACAGCAACTATAGCTGCCTGCATGAGACCTCCAAAGGGCAGGCTAGCAGACATTTCAGCCTGAGTATGAAAGGTGTTCATGACCCACCCACCAACTTGGCTGAGGAGCTTTTAGTAGTCGATGGCTAATTGTGGAGGGAAACTCAGTTTTCTTTAAGTGTGTGGACCCGGGCAGGTTGACCATGTGCCAATGAATGGCTCCACACCCATGAGTTTATGAGCAGCACAAATTGGATTTGGCAAGTATTAAGTTTTTAAGACATAAATTTGGGAGGTGGAGTGGCAATGGATCTGGAAGGAGTTGGGATGAGGTGGGTGTACTACGACCGTGTGAGATTTTTTTAAAGAATAAGAATATTAGTTTTAAAATGATATTTTTATTTTAAAATAAAAATTTTAAAAACTCTTCATAAGGCTTAACTGTTATCATACCAACATATTTCATAAAAAGCTAAAATATGCAAGAAGCAGTAATTTATTATTCTATACATAAGAAAATTCCAGCTACCCATTTACTTTTACGTGGGTTGGATTCAAAGCTCATCAACACTCAATCACCAAATGGTTATACTGTCCTGGATCAGTGTCTTTTCTTTATCAGTAAGACAGTGTGAAGAGAGGGCGCCATTCATGGGAGAAATAACAAGGCTGACTTTTACTCACCTGTGCTGAGAAACCACAGAAGAAGGCGAACCAGAAATGCACAAGGGTGAACGCAAAGTTCTTGTAGAAGAAATAGCATAAAAACTTGCACATTCTGTAATAGGACCATCTTCCATGAACAAGAAGCAGCCGTTGGAGATATCTAAACTGAGCCAATGCATAATCACTGGCTAAGACTGCTTGCAGTCCTTCCTGGCCACTGATGCCAATGCCAATGTGGGCACCTAGGAGGAAAAGAAGATGGAAAGGTTTCATCCCCAAACAAAATGTCAGCATCTTTAAGAAACTTATTCCTCTTTTATGTCAGTCATTTTTATAACTGTATAGCTATAATAGTTATTATAATTTTTCACATATATCATGAACTAGTCACATAGTTAAGTATTGACTCTAGTTTTACTGAAGAGAAAACTAGGCTGGGAAAGGGTTGGAAATTTACACTTTACACTTGAAAATAACAAAGATGGGATCAACCCAGCTGCTAGGAACACAGCCCTGGCTACATTCACCTGCCCTGAGTGATTTCTCCCTCTCAAACTGGAGAAGGCAAGCAATATCATTTCTTAAACTAAGAAATATGCAGGTTATTTAACTGAAGAGAAATGTCTTAGAGGCACTAATAGTTGTGTAAGTGCTGGACCCAGAAAATATAATTTATATAAAAACCATGGTAAAATTAAATTAACGCACATTTCTATTATATAGTATTACATGCTGAAACAGGACTCCATGTGTGTAGTATGCCTCATTGAGAAAATACCCTCTTACTTTTAATCATGCTGACATCATTGGCCCCATCACCAATGGCCAAAGTCACAGCATTTCTGTGCTTTTTTACCAACTCTACTACTTGGGCTTTCTGGAGTGGAGTGACTCTGCAGCAAACCACAGTCTTACACACGCAGGCAAGCTCCAAAAGATCATTCTCGACATCACTTTCTAGGGCATGGGCCTGTGTCGTCAAAACAAACAGAACACATGACGATTGTAAGTTACAAAGCAAATATCATGGTTCTTGACTGACTTCGTTTCAGAACCATTTCCTTACTTGGTTAATTCAGGGTTACAAAAGCACAACAAGAATGAAGACATGCCCATGGAGCTGTTGGTAAGTTCCAAGCGAATGTAACTCCTCTTTTGTAGTATCTGTCATAGTACTATCAGAACAATACAGTGATCCCCCAAACAAGGACTATGCTCCATTCATGTCTGAGTTCTCTGCCACTCTAGCACTGTGACCTGGCCAGTCTGTCTAAACCATGATAACGGTATGAGCCAACGGATGGGTAAATGAGTCCAAAACTGTGACTCTAGTGCATAAAAAGTTTATATTGAAGCCTATATTCTTCAGAAAAACTGTGGACCACCATTCTCAAATATATCACATGTTCTGAAAGACAAGGCATATAACTGGCTCTTTTGCTCAGAATGGCCCCCTTTTTTCTTTATTATCAGCAAGCAAAATGTAGACTTGGGTTTTGATGAAGACGGGCCTGATTACATTCAGGAAAGCTTCAGAATTTGAGAAAACTGGAGCTATGATTTAAAAAGAAAACAAAATCTAACTTTACTAGCAAAAAATACAGTCAATTCTCCATAACTGAAGAGGGACATCTCATGGTTTCATGAGCACCCGGCTTTGAAGCAAACAGGGCTCCAGAAGAGCAGCCAGCTTAGAGCTTTCTTTCAACAGAGAAAAAGACAGGGTAGGTGATTATCACTGGAAAGCCCATGCCCTACAAACACTGACTTCCTCAAGCCCACGGGACTGCCAAAGAGTGACCCATTAGGGATTCTGTCCTATGGAGCTGCCTGGGCCACTCAACCCCAGATCTCAGCAGACAGACATAACTTTCAGTTGGTGTTCATCTGTGCAAGGGAAAAGTTCATGTCATCTGGACCAACTTTGGACTGAGCTTGGCCTGCAGCTGAGCTCTGTAACTTTCCACGGCTTTCCATGGTGTGGAAGCAGCACTTTGCTGCGTCTGGGATCCAGCTGGATAGTGCTTAGAGCGCTAGGAGCTAACAGGCGGACAGTCACAAGGGGGAATCTAATATCCTCAGATCCAAGTTCTTTTGTCCACTAAGAAACTGTCTTCAAGAACAAATGTTCATTTTCCAAACTCCAAAGCAAAAAACGAGCATCAAAGCCAAAGAAAGATGTGAGATTAAGTTCTCGGTACATATAAATGATAATTTCACGAGACTGCAGTCAGGGCTTTTGTATTCTAATTAGAGACTCAGGAGGAGCGGTTTGAGTTTTGTTTCGGGGCTTGGAACCTGAACTGCGTTAGAAGTACAATGCAAGTTTATTCTATTATGACAAGAACCAGATTTCCTAATCAAATCAAATTGTTTGGCTTTGCTGCAGAATGTTGCTATTTAGAAAAACCACCAGAGGTATCTTAATGGCAATAATTTGGCGTGGTAATTCAGTGAAGGTCAGGTTATGACTCGCAAATCACAAACATTAACAAGAACAGTAACTGAAGCCCGTCTGTCCAGTCGTAGTCTTTCAATTAAATGACACTGAGCTGTGCCATCCCCCACCCCTTACAAAAGCATTTAAACCATCCTGCTAAGTGACTGTTTGGGCAAAATTCATAGATTCGCTGCGAATTGTTTCTCCAGAGCCTCACATCCAGTGTGATCCTTCAAACAATGATGTCTGAAGGCACACTGGAAGTCTTTCCTTTTGTAAACAGGAAATCCTGTGCACGCCCTATCTCTTGTAGTGACATTTGTTTGAAAAACACAAAGGGGGCTCTCATTATAGCAGCACAAAAGAGATGATTATTGGAGTAAAGAAAAAGAGAAGAATAGCCTCGGGCAAACTCACCAAACTGTGGCCGTTTATGACTAAGGCATATTCTCCTGTCACAGCCTCTCCTGCACCCTCGTCCAACCCCAACCGCTGCTTGTTTTCATAAACTGCATGTCCATTGGAAAAACTCGTGGTTTGTCCAAGCAAATTTTCTTTTGCTTTCCTTAAAGAATAAGAGAATTAAAAGGTATAACAAAGCACACAGAGCTTATCTATAACTGAACCAAGAGTATGGCCTAGAAGTGAATTCATTCCATCAGTATTCAAAGTAAGGCCCAGGTACTAGGTCCATCAAGAAAACCAACCGGCAAGCAGCAGTGCATGTCAAAGCTGCGTGGGGTCTGGGGTGGGGGAGTGGGCATGAAGGAAATACTCAGATAAACATAGTGAAAACAGAATCATCTCAGATATTTTTAAGTACCTAAAAACAGGTTTTAACTAAGGAATCTTGATAGCTTTGGTGTATAAAGGCTAAAGAGTCACTCTCTGGAAAAAGGTGTTTTTCAATATGCTAAACAAAACTAAAGGCGATGAATGAAACCTTATTACAGAACCCTCCCTCCTTCCCTCTCTCTCTCCTTTTATTCACTTTTTCCTTTCCCTTTCTTCTGACGTGTGTGTGTGTGTGTGTGTGTGTGTATGTGTGTGTGTGTATTTGTGTGTGTGTGTGTGCTCATTATTACATAACCTGCCTGAAAACGACAGTCCACTTATAAGCACATCTTTAACATTTCAATAACCACTTATTATTATAAAATAATAGAATATTTTGAGTTTAAAAAATATCCATCAGTTTAAATGATAGCAATGATCTTGTAAGAAACTACGAACACCAAACATGGGGGCTTGTTACAAATAGAAATTCCTCTCAATGCTCAAGACCTAATCAGTAGTTTATTGATGACATAATCCCATTAGAAGTGGCATTTTACTGTTCTAAAAAAAATGTGATAATGTCTTTAAAACGAAGGTAAATTCCCTCTCAGAAGACCTGTGGGTGACTGTGTTATAAATAACAGGTCTGTTAGCATGACCATAGTAGTTTCCATCATATGATGGAAACCAGCAGATGTCCCCTGCAGAAGGATGCCCAAGCCAGCCACTGCACAAAAGTATACCAGTACATGCATAGATGAATTCCAGAAGAAAACAGAAAGTGAAGGATAAGTTAGCAGATGTTTTGACTTATGGCAAAATGAACTGTCTCCCTGAAGTCCCGCCCAGTGTGGAGAACAGTTATTTCAATGAGTTTATACTGAAGCTCCTCTGATAGGAGGGAATGATCATAGTAAAACAAACATTTTGCCTTCAGCTTTTGAATTATTTAAAATACAGTGATGCATATAAAAATGCATTACCAAGAGTTTATGTACAAACTACAAAAGCAGACCTAGAAGCAAAGGCAGGCCACCTTGTTTCCCGACTCAACATTGCCGTCTGCTGTCCAGGACCAAAATCGCGCCTGCACTTTTAAGAGCCTTGTCACTCGCCCTTGGTTCCAAGGATGATATCAGACAGTTAGCAGGCAGTTTGCAGAAATGAACAAAAGGATATGTAAAGTTAGAAGACAGTATGAAATGCACTGTGGGGAAGGAGACAGAGCAGGCACAAAGAATTACTGTTGCAAACAGAAGGCTCCGATGTCCTCAGAGAGATAAGCAACCCAAGGAATGCTCATCGTGGCCATGAAAACTGGCAGAAGCTTCTGACGAACGGGAGCAGTGATACTGGACATGAGCATGTCTCTGACGGAGCTGCAGATCTCATAAGCTGGATTTTGAGAAGGCATTGAAGCAAAAATAAAACATCTCCCAGGGTTTCCTGTTTGGTGAGTCTTCCATTTGCTGTGTAAATGACTCAACCTCTATTTCCCCCCTTGGAAAACGAAAACATTCCAAAGGAGGGTGAAGTTCATGAACACACTGGCCAAAATCCTATTTATTTAGGAGTTTTCCCCAACAATGTCTTCCTAACATGTGACACAAGCCCCTTTCCAAGCAGAACAAGGACAATTTTTTTGCTCTGCTGAAATTGCTAATGCTCCCTCCTCCTAGGCCTTCACTCCCTGCCAGACTGAAATGCTCACACTGTAATCCAGACCTGGGTGGGTGTTCATAGCTGCCCTTTCTCTTACTTCCTGGAACTCAGCATTCCAAACACAAGCTGGTTCTTGCAAATGTAATTCTTTAGGAGAGAAAAAAGCCACACATAGTACCTTTGAATGAAGATGCAGTGTACAGTGTGTAGGCATCACACATACAATGGGACCTCGAATACAAACAGATGTTTTGTAATGAGGGGCAGTTTAGTACAATGTTGTAATGCAGAGCCACACAAAGGGTTGAGCTGACTGGAGCATTCACAGCCCATACCATCTGAAACACACTAAAGGAGAGTGAGGCCTGTGCTCAGCCATGCATTCAACCTGCAAAGGAGAGAGAAGACAGGAGGAACGAGCCATTTTCTCAGTCCTTTCCTGACACTCTAGATCCAGGAATTAAAAAGATCTGTTAAGAAACAGATTCAAATTATGACATTATGTTTAAAGGAAAATAATTTAGAATTTGGTAAAAGGCCAGTGCTTTAAGCTTGCTTGTTCCTTGGAAACTTGTGTTGCCTCTGACAGATTAGCTATCTGACTTTTGGCCACTTGATTAGTCCAGAGCAGACACAGGACTTCAAATTCCTAGTTCTTGGTTACCAAAACAAATGGCTTTACATATACAGCCAGCCACAGGCTATCTGTAGGTTACAGTAAGATACAATGACAGAGGGCAACGAAAGTGGCAGCACCACCCTTCCTAGAGTAAGAAAGGAAGAAAGTGAATCAACTTTTTAGTTCAAGCTTCCAGTTCACCATCTCTCACTGCCCCAAAGACCATTAAAGACATCAATCCATTATCAGAAATTGGGGATTGGCCTAGTTGGAGATCAACCCCCTGAAAACAGGCAACTACATGCACTCATCAGAAGTCAAAATCTAGTGCTCTAGAGTGTTACAATTTAGAGAAGAAACTTGACCTACTGAAACAGTTTACCCAGGAGAACAGAACTTTGGAATTCAAACCAACATACCTCCTGTTTGGTCGGTACTATAATTAAAGACTCTATGATGTCATAGTCGGTGTTATGTTCTGCTCCATGAAAGAACTCCTGACTGGCCAATATCTTATAAACAGCCTACATCACACAATGAATTTTCAGTACCTACCACAGGACCATTTGCATTTTCAAATGGTCCTAATGATTAAAGATATTACTTATTAGAGAAGGGGTATGGGGTCCTAGTGTCTCAGTGGGGGTACTTGGAGGCAGTGGGGTCACAGCTTAATGAGTTTTTCTGAGAACAAAGCATATGACCAGTGCCTCAGAAATGAAACACTGGATGAGTTTTCTTGTCTGACCGAGCAAAACCTCATTGTCTATTTTCTTTGGAGCAGAAGATACATGCTCTGTTAAAATTACACAATCCATGAATAATTTCAGAAAACAGCAGGACTTAACTGTAGACCGTGAACATGTAGCTAACACCAGACTGAACTGTAGACCATGGGCATGTGGTCAACACAGGACTAAACTGTACACTGTGGGCATGTGGCTAACACAGGACTGAACTGTAGACTGTGTGCATGTGGCTAACACAGGGCTTACCTGTAGACCACAGGCATGTGGTCAACATAGGGTTTAACTTAGACCTGTGGGCATGCTGCTAACACTAAAGCACCAATGGGAACCAACTCATTCAGGATTCCACAGATCCAAAACTGGCTAGCAACCCTAAGCAAGCTAGTGGCATGAAAATTACTCAGTCATGTTGACAACATCTAAACACATTTGACAAGTTTAACTACAAACATGTAAGTATTGTCCATCCAATGGCCACTCCCTCAGATCCTGCTCTTTCAACACACTTTTTTTTTTGCATGAACTCAAAAACATAGCGCAAGAACACAGAAGGGCACAAAGTTATGATTTTAATGCCCAAGGCTTAGATATAAATCATCAAGACTGGGAATGTAGTGGGAACCTCCAAACAATAGCTCTCCTTAGGAACATTTTCCCCCTCAAATTTCATAGAAAGCATATTAATTCTGGAAAGGAATTCATTCTGCCAGCAGAATTTTCTGTCACACATTGTTTCTGTGGTAGACGCAAAGCATGATAGTACCTCCAAGTCTGGATTAAAATAAGCATTGCCAGCCAGTAGGCTGAGCAAGGTAGCCCCGTGGAATGTAAGATGCTACACCTAGATGTAAATATTTTCCTTTAAATAGTTTCTGTCTCATTAAAATATATTTTTAGTTTCTTATCAATTGTAAAAATTTGCAGGGATACTACTACTCAGTAATAATACAACCAAAAAGAAAAATAGAAGCTGGCTGCCTAATTCTATTACTCAGAAAGAACCATGGCATATATTTTCCAGAGCTTGAAAGGTAGTTAGGAGGATACATGCATAGTGCCGTGTGTGTGTGTGTATATATACTATTCTATGCATATTTTATAATCTCATTTTAAACTAAATATGTCACCCATCTTCTAAAGTTAATAAAAGCAAAATCACTTTTATTGACTATTTTGTATTTCATTGCTTGCCAATATCATAATATTTAACAAAATTCTTCCCAACTAGGTATATGAGCTATTTCTAATTATCTATTATCATACCCAATGCAGGAATAAATATTTCCTCAGCTACATATTCATGCATTTGTACATTTACTTCCTTAGAAGAAATTCCTAGAACAGGTGTCTGGGTAAAAGCATACACATTTATATTTTTAAAATACATTGCTAGTTTCCCCTTTTGGAGAATTCTACCATTTGAAGGTCCCAACAAGAGTACATAAATAACACACATTTTCCCAGATTTCTTCTAAGAAATGACAGCTATGACATCTGTGTAGCCAGCCAGTTGTAGCTGGATGGACTCTTGAAGGAATAGCTCAACTAATCCTTCTCCAGCTGTTCCTATGAACTCAGGGGCCATCTCTTTACTCAGAGACATGCCTTTGCCTGGGAAGGGAACCAGACACAAAACAAAGGAGTTAAATTTTTGGTTTGGAACTCCAAATTAGATTCTTGAAAACCATAGCATCAATATCACTCTAAATCCTTGCAACTGAGAATTTTACTAATAAATATTTTATGATGAAAAAAATAAAGTTTCTTCAAGCCTCAAAGATGAATTAAAGTTGTCTTAGGGGAGTAGAAAAAAAATCTCCTAAAATGAAGAGTTGCTAAATGATTACTTTGGCCATGTCTGTAAGAGTGTCTCTATTGATGATTAATGTGGGAAGGCCCCGTTCACTGTGGGCCTGGCATATGTATGAAAGCTCACTGAGGGTGAGCCATGGAGCAAGCCAGGAAACAGCATTCTTCCTTGCTTTCCTCACAGGTTCCTGCTTTCAGATTTCTCCCTTGAGTTCTTTCCCTGACTTCCTCCTCTGATGGACTGTTTTCTGGGAGTATATTATGAAGTAAACACATTTCTCCTCGCATTGTTTTTGGAGAGATCCACCTTCAGTGAAATATGACTTCTTTGCATGCATTATTTGCTGCTTTAAACATGGCTTAACATAAAATTAACAGGGTTCTGTGTTTGGACACAGCCGACAATACCCACTGCCTCCATCCCTGGGCATTCACACTGATGTGCCTCCATCCCTGGACATTCACA